ATTTTTTTTTTTTTTTTTTTTTTTTTTTTTTTTTTTTTTTTTTTTTTTTTTTTGCATAGCTCTTCATTGATGCAATATATTTCCTGCAAATAGAAAGCATTCTTTCCCCCTGAATGCTGAAGGAAATTACAAAAATGTCAGACTATGTGAGTCTTAATGAAGTGAATTGCTGGGGGAAAGAAACAAACCTGAGATTACTACTGGGAAAAAAGAAAAGATGAGAAAATGTCCAGCAAGTATCAGTGTACAAAAACCACCCAGAATAACTATAAGCTTTTGGCATCAGCTTTTGTTCTTCAAGAATAATAATCCACCCACAGGAACAAGACATTTTACATGATGCAGCAGGATCCTGGGACAGGGGGAGAAAACAAGACAAAAAAATAATATCAGAGTGCTTATCTTCCATTAATTGGAAATAAAACTCACAACATAAATCTGGGAAGAATTATGGGAACTAAGCCTCCACATGGGTCCAGAGCAGAGGTAATGATACAAGGTCAGTATCCTGAAGATCACAACTCCCTGCTGAGATGTGCTTGATCCTCATTACTCTGTGAAAATGTCTTAGGGAAGTAGCACTTCACACCTTGGAAAGCTTGGAATTCCACCAGCCTAAAGGAGTTTAGCTAGTTCTGTACAAGCTGAATGGATAAAGGTTTCCTGCCTGGGAACCCTGAAGTGCAAAGTCATCCCAAGCATTTTGATTTAGCAGCAGTTTTAACCATGTCCTGTTTGGTTCAAGGACTGCTAGCAAAACTCGTCTTTAATTCACAAGCATGAAATTGTCTTTGTGGTAGCCCAGGGAACAGGGAAGAAAAAAAAAAATCTCACCTGGTAAGGTTAACGTTTAGCTTGTTTTCTGCTTCTCAGATTTGCTGCTGGAGGACTGTCCCTTTGCCTAAAGAGGGGATGAGACAATGATAAACTGAACCAAGCTAAAACCTGAAATCAGGCAGTGACAAAACACTCATCAGAATCACAGTTAAGACATAAATACAGTCTGCACCTGAAATACAGATAGTTTAGCAAGAGTATTTGTGACTCCTGCTGTGTACAAATATTTTCACCTTTTCACCATCAACTGCTTGCTTTCAGGCAGAGTGGGTTATGTCTGACCTCATCATTCCCTGTTCCTAAACACCCTTTTACCCACAGCAGTGATCAGGCCACAGCTCAGAACATCCTCCTGAAGAGGAGATAAAGACACCCCTCAGTTTTACACAGAGAACTGCAAGTCAGTTCTGTGGTCTCACAAAAAGTACCTGTGGTGATTTGATAATAACAGCAAGCAGAAATCCCATCACTGACATGTGAAATGTAAAATTCCCAGAGTAGATGTAATCATCTGATTCGCACATATCCTCTGTGAGGAAAACATGATGGAACAAGCTTCACCCTGACCTGAATCAATTTTCTCTAATTCTGGATTAAAAAAAAAGCTAAGCAACCCTTCTTACCTTCCCCTTCTTCCCACTTTTTCTGAATACAGAAACAGCTGCCTGCCTTTTCACACCATGTTCATTCATACTTTTTTATGAAAGTATGTAGGCCTTCATTAATTTTAAAGAATTAATTTATGATAATAACTTGGGAATCTGGCTGTGGTTGTAGGAGCACTTTTTAATCACTTTTCGGATGCTGTTACTCAAAACTGTCAAGAAATGAGAGAAGTGGTGGGGATCCTGCCTGAGGCAGCTATAGGGAGGCAAAGTAGAACTCTTAGATCTACAAATCTGGGAAGAACCTGAGGAGCATGCACCCCTCCCCCTTCAGAGAACAACACTCTGAAAGATACATATTTTTTTTTTTTTTGCCCCTGTTTATTTTCCAGTTTCTCTTGAAATAGAAAGGGGACCTTTTCCTATGTTCATATTTACAAAAATGGATCAAATTCAACATATTAATGTAAAACTCCCTCCAAATTAACAACCCTGGAATATAAGTCCAGAATCCAGCTGCCCCTCTTGTATGACTGCCCATACCATAATAAAAGTGTTTGTACCGTTTTAGGGTCTCTGGGCTTTCCTTTATCCTTTGAGCTTGGCTTAGTGGTCGTAGATTCCTTTCCACTTTTGTCCTACACTCCAAAGAAAAAAAAAAATTACAGTTACAAGGAGAATAGAGCACTGGTGGCTCCTGCTTTGGTATCTGCCAAAACACAGTATTTTGAATAGGTCTGGCAGCAACACAGGCCATCCTGACAGGAGACTACATCAGAAAAAAAACTGGTACAGATGGGCAGATTTTGTATTTACCACCAAGCAATATGGCTGCAACAGCAGATTTAGCCCTGGATTTCAAGAGCAGATGAAGCAGCACTTGAAATACCAGTTGTCCTGTCTTCAGCTGCCTGAGGGTTTTGTGCTGAGGGAAGCCCCTGGTGGGCACTGCAGTGGCCAGAAGAGCTGGCTGTTTGGAGACAGCTCTTTCCTCCAGGAATACAGCTGATTTGAACCTCAAGTTTCAAAGTGGCTGCTCATTTTCTCAATTGCAGGACCTCTCCAGTCCATTCCTTCTCCCTTCTTCTTGTCAACTCTACTGTTTTCCCCTAGCATACCTGAAAGTCTTTGCTGCTCCCTGCTTTTTTCTCCACAAAACCCTCTTGAACTGTGTCTCAGCTCCAGCCAACAACCACTGCTACACAGTGCCTCCTATCAGTGAGCAGAGGTTTCTTTGCCTCTCTGCAGTTTTTGAACACTTAAAAACTGTTACCACATTTCTCTGCTCAACTTACTTCTCCAAGCCTGTCTGCAAGGCTCTAATTACCACAAACCTTCCTTCTTCCAAATATCGACTACACAGCAAAATACATCCAACTTCCACTGCAGAAGTGAGACAATCCCTGCATCTGGACAGGCTTCCTATAAATCTAAAATGAGTGACTGGAAAGTGAGGAATGAGAAACTCTTTATTCTGCAAGTTATTAGCAGAAAATGTCCTACCTTTGAGTGCTGGGGTGTAGCAGGAGCCTTTGCACAAGTATCAAAGTCACCTGATAAGGCATCAATAGCTGCACTGTCATCCATAGGTTTCTGCAATAATTTTAATTTTGAAGTCACAAAATGTGCAACCTAACTTCCCACAGTCAAATTAGTGGTTCAGGAACTTATGTCTGCTTTGATTATTCCTTTTCTTAAAGAAAAACACACCTGAACTCCACACATATGTCAGAGACATCTATTTGAGGATCCCAAGATGCATGATTTCCTGAACAATCATAATGCAGGTTGTACATAAAAACTGCATTTATTGTGAAGAGTTACACCTCACAGAAGTTTTAAATTCCACTACTGTTCCTATTACCACCTTCATTTATGAGTATTTGCAATTAATCACCCCTTAATCCTACAGAGATGCAACTTTGAAACAAAATCAGAGCCCACAGTATGAAAAAAAAAAACCACCACAGAATAAATATCACAAATATAAAAAAACTCTCAATAAACCCCATCATAAAGGTTACCTTCTTTCCTTTGTGCTTCACATCATCCTTTGCTGTTGGCTTTGCTGGTTTACTCTTGTAAAGAAAAAAAGCAGATCCTCATTCATTTTGAACCAGACAGATAAGTTTAAAAATACAAGTACTTACATATGGCACTACTGGGTGTTCCCAGATTGCCAATTAACCTGCACTGTTCTGAATAGATTTCTTTAGTAGTTCAAAGTGATTTATTTGTTCAGACTACCCAGTTGAAAAAGAAAAAAAAATTAACAAAACAAGAACAAAACTTTTTTTTCCCCTTTGTTTTTTTCATTTATAAGCATGCGAGGATAGAGCTACTCTCACTGAAGAATATTTCCACGTTTTACCCTAATATATAAATACAGAACAGACACTCACTTATTCCACTTGTAATTCCAAAGAGGACAGACTGGCTCAGATAGACTCAATTTCCACTGCTGCAAATAAAAACTATGGAAGTTTTTCCTTACCTGCTCACTTGACTCCAGAAGTTTTCGATAGTCAGGTGGGATTGTTTCATCTCTCTCTCCAAGCTTGTCTCTGTGTTCAGATTTAGCCTTTTCCTGAAAGTATTTAATTTTAAAAAATCTTTATTTCCCATGTTAGAATTATTAGCAATCAACAAGTCAGAGGGCATATCAGATTCAGGACAGATATCCTTTTTCACTTTAAAATTTTAAAACTACTGAGAAAACCCCTATATATTAATTTCACTTTGAGTTGTGTTTCATGCCTGAAAGTTTTAAAAATTACATTTATTTTTCAACTTATGCTGCTCTCATTTTTGGCAGCATACCAGGTAGATGCCACACAGAACACCACAAGGAGGTTTCAAAGCAGACTGCTGAAGAACATTTTTGTCTTTCTTAATGCAGACATTTTTGAAATCTCTTTTTTCTTTTTCCTCCAGTTAAGGTTCCAGCCTAAACTTATTGATAGGCAGCATATGGTGATTTTGCTTTTCCCCAGTAATGAACTTTACCTTAGCTATTTCAAATTAAAATTTATTTACTACTATTATGCAGAAATTTATTTTCTTGTTAGCAGAAGGGCCTTTATAGGATTTTATGAAAGACTAAATGAAGACAAAACCAGCAGAAACAAGGAAGTTTAAAAATATGCCTGATTAAGTGAACTTGTGGTTATAAAAGTCAAACCTTGACAAAAAGAGGGCCAGAAAATAAATTCTAGAAACTGAGGCCCAAGAAGACACCTGGAAAATGATGAGAATAATGGCAATGAAAGGCACTGAACTAAAATTATTTCAAATCTCCCTTTACATTTCAACACTTGCCCTCAAGTGGCTAAAGTACATTGACCAAATAATTTTTCACAGAACACATAAGTAATCTGGCTGACTGAAAAGTGGTTGATATACCTGTAAGTAAGAACATGGATTTTTTTTTTCTCCAATAACCTTACTCTTACAACATCTGAAATCCCAATGCCATATACTCCTGTGAGCGTATGGCAGCCATTGCAGGTTCTGGGGGATTTGGAGGGGGTTTTCTTGTTGGTTTAGTTTATTCCCTCCCAGCCCTCCTTCTCCCCAAATAGCTCAAGTTTCAGAATGTCTTTTGTTACCTTCACTTCATCCACAAGCGGTTTGTTCTCATCAGGGTCAGGTTCCCTCTGTCCCAGGGAATCAGACAGGAGATCCAAGGCTTCATCCATCTCTTTTCCTCCCTAACAAAGCAGAAACACATTTGTGAAAGCACATCTGCTGCATGTGATGTAATTCATCAATCTACTGTAAGTACTGGCTAATGAACTGTAGAACTTGAGTGAACAAAGAGCACTCCTGTCATACTTGCAGTGTAGCACAATAGCTGGAGAAAAATACAGAATATTTCTGACCTGCAGAAAACACAATTTCAATAAGGGCTTATGGAATTTTCTTGAATAGTTTTATTTTTTTTTTATAAATAAGCCAAGCTGCTTTAATGAGAACAGATCTATGAAATAATTGGCTATTGTTTGGCAATCAATGTTTGGCAATTACCATGGATTTTGCAATTTTATACAGAACCTGGATAGAAAAAGAGCCCTTAAAGCCAACACAGCCAGGAGGAGCTTTATATTCCCCTTCCAAGCCAGGCTGGCAGCACAGGGCAAGATCCCTCAGCATGGATCAAAATGCTTGAGCAACATTACAATAAACACCAGGAAGGAAAGCTCCCCTGGTATTCAAAGGTGGTACTGCCTGTGGAACTCAGTTGAAAATTGAGTGTCCACTCATTCTTTTCTTCTCAATTTTTTTTCCCTAGGGGAACATTTTCCTTCTCTGCAATTGCCATTTTTAGCAATAAATTATTAAATTCTGCAGGAGTCCACACTGGTCACACTGCCTGGATCATGTTGCTGCCTCTTCTCACTACTCAGCCCCTTGTTTTGGGGTAAGAACCTACAGGAGAGGTTTCTTACAGTAGTAGAAGGTGCAGGGGCTGCTGAGTGCACTGAGGAAACCGTAGCAGCAGAGATCACATCCGAGGAACTTGCAGGCTTGGCACTATCCTTGGATTTCTGGAAGAACAAGGCACACAGGGGACCCTGAGAAAAACACCCATCAGACCAAAAAACACATCCAAAACACAGCACCCACAGAGCTGATTTCTAGGATTTGCTTTTCCTGAGGAGCTTTTTTTATTTCAGATTGAAACACGCCCCCACACACACTCTGTGCAACTGCTCCTCATCTCAAGTTTGTTCTTCCATCTCAACCACTGGTTTAAACCTCACCATAGCTGAAGTTTAAACAGGTTTAACATTACTCCAAAAGATTTCACCAAGACATCTAATGTTCCCAAAAAACACTTTTTAAATCCTCAGCTACAAAGCAGTATTTATGCAAGTAACTAGTAAAAAGATAGGTCACATAACTACTTTTTTCTTTGTCTGTTTTTTAAAGTCCTGTACTTCTATTAACTTACTGCAAGAAGTATTTTAAATTTTTAGTTATTGCATTTCATTTCAGGAACTTTATATAAAGAAAACATTTAAAATGTCATGATTATTCAAACAACCTGTAAATAAAGATAGATTTCAAAAATCTAACATACCTTTAGTACAGCGGATGTAGATAATGGTGCAGGTGGTGATGGAGAAGAGGAAAATCCTTCTGTCAAACCCTCTAAAAGATCATTTTCACTCATAGGCTGCAATCAGAAAGAAAAAGAAGAACTGTGTAAGTCTCTTTATCTCTTAAAAAGTAAGCAAGTAACATAGCCCATTTTTAAACTGAACACTGGGTTACCTGCTGAAATTTGGTAAGTAAGTCATGAATGAAACAGTTATTTGAAATCATCACTTTTTTACCTGTGACTTTTCTTCTGGTTTTGGTAGGAGTGGTTTTCCATCTTTATCCTATAAAGAAAAACATCCCTTGCATTAACCCTGAAACAGCCATGCAATTCAAGCACTCTGGGAGCATTCTCTGAGCAACAGAAAGTGTTACAGGGGACATGGACCTAACCAGCAGCTTCTGTAGCATCTATTCCTGCTACTCAAAATGCCACTTAAAACATCCAGGTCCTTGGGGTTTTCTTAAAAGCTTTAACCAATCACAATTTATTTTTTTCTAAAATACCAGAATCTACTGAAAGACCCCCATGGACTAATCTCAGAATTATTAATCTGCAGGTACCTGCATCTAAACCACATCTATGCCCATGCAAGCATCCAATGATAGATGACAGCTATTTGTGGGAACTACAAACCAGAATTTCTATATATTACAAAAATGGCTGAACCAAAACATCAGTGCTTCAAAATGAAATGGGAGTCTCAGTTTCACCTATATGTTCTGAGGAATGAAAGGGAAGTAAGACTAAGTATATTAAATAAATTACTTTGGCTTCTGTTAATCTGTACTCTGGAGGAATTGTTTCTTCTTCTTCACCCAGTTTTTTGTATTGTTCATTTTTGGTTTTCTCCTGTGAAGGAAAAATAGGAATCACAGTAAGAAAAACAACTACCCATGGAAATTCACATGAGCAAGCTTCCAGTCTTCAGTCCTCTGATTCAAATTGGTCTTTCTCATTCAATCAGCCACCACTTACAAATCTCAGGAAAGTTAAAAGAAAACATTTTCTCTTGAGAAAGCCTTCATTCCCCTGCCTGTTTTTTCCTCTGTGTATTAGAAGTACTTCTACATATTTCAGTGAAGCTGGCAGAACTAAGTGAATAGAAAAGGGTGGACCAAAATCAAAAGTACCTCTGAATCTTAATTCTTGATATTTTTGCAAATGGACTCAACAGCTGCCTGGGCTGCATGCAGAGGAATGCTGAAAAGAGAAATCAGCAGCCCACTTCAAAAATTATTATCCCCATACAAGTTATGCTGGCAAAATGCCAACTAAGAGAAGGGACTAAAGCCAACTTTAGAACTCCTGCCTGGCAGAATTCCAGCCACTAGAAGGGCTGGCTTCTGACTCCGCCGAATTCCATCTGGATGAGGATGGCACACAGGGGCATTCAGACTGCCTATGAACAGCATTCTCTTCTATAGGATTTCAGTGGCTTGCTTATGGTTCCCTATTTAAATATATAAAGCCCAAAAGTTTTTTGCAAAATTCCAAATTTAAACCCCCTGTCATAAAGTTGGTTCCTTCAGAAAAAGTACCATACTGTATGCTATCCCTGATGTGCATCTTAATTCTGCTTCAGTTCAGCAGGACACACCAAAACACAGTTTTCAGAAAACTAAGGGAACTACTGCACTGCAATAGTCAGAATTATTAGGAAAGTGCATTCATTGTGTTGAAATCCTGCTGGTACTTCCTAAGCAGAACAGAACTGGTTTCAACAGTACATTTTGTTTGTAAAAAAAAGTGAAAACATAATGTCTACTTTGCTTGTGATCTGAGGAAATGGAGTAATGCTGAAGGTAATTACATAAGCAGTCTATTTTTTGAGGTCTGTTTCTTTTCTCTACCTTAACTTTGTCCACAGCAGGCTTTTTCTCATCTGGATCAGCCTTCCTCTTTCCTAGGCTACTGGACAAGGCTTCCAGTGCTTCATCTGACACAGGACCAACCTGCATGGGTGTTGATAAAGGAAAAAACAATTTTTAGTTTGACGAACCCTGGTTTTGTCTTTTCCTGCAGTCCCCATTAGGTTCACAAACAGTATCTCCTTTAGGGCAGGAAGAGCACAGAACACCACAGAATTATCAGTTTGGCTTCCTCTCTGAGGAAGGTCACTGACCATTCAGTCTGTGCTTGACTCAGATTTTTTTTTTTTTTTCTTTTTGTTTTTTTTCTTCTGTGAACCACTCAGCCTTTGTGGGTTACCACTGTGGAGGAAGAATATGCAATACTGAAATGAGCATCCTGCCAACATGCTCCATCAGTCCATAAATGAAACATAGAGTTTTGCTTCAGCTCCAGCCGAAAAAGCTCCACTACTTACTGAAGGCACAGGAGCTCCAGACTGCACAGTGCAAGCTGTGGCACGGAGTACCACTTTATCCTCAGTGGCTTTTGCAGACACAGAACCTGATGGCTTCTGAAACAGAAAAATTTACACTGTATTTTAGTGAATATGCTTAGAAAACAATAAAATGTGCCTGTTAAATAGCTTACTTTTTCCTAAATACAGTACTAAATGAGAAAGAAAAATCTAAATTTAAAGGCAGAAGATGCTCAATGAAGAGCTGAGTGCCAATACTGCGTATTCCACTAAAGACAATGGGAATGGTAAAACAGGAAGAGAAGAAAATGGGTTTTTTTGAAAGAACACTAGCACTACCAAGTTTTAGCAAAATTGTCAAGCGTCAGCTTCTCCAGTGAACCACGACTTACTTTGCTGGGCTTTGGTGCTTTGGGTTGTACTGCAGGCTGTGCAAGGCAGGCAAAGTCCTTTGAAAATTCATCAACAAGATCAGACTCACTCAAAGGCTGAAAAAAAAAAGCAAAAAACATGTGGCACAGGTGACTCGCTGCCTCTTTTTAATTTACTTTTTCAAGAACTGTATTTCAGCTACTCATAAAGCAGGAAACCATCTGTAGTTTACACTGAAATAACCTTTCACAATTATGTGCAACAAAACAGAATTAATTTTTGCTGTTAAGAAAAACATGCTTCAGAATAAGTTTCTGTGTTATCATAAGTTCATAAAAGGTAGAGAACTGTACATATAATATAAAACATAATACAGAGAACCAGGTACAGATATGTTCAAGACAGGGCTATTGAAAAGGAAAAATACAACCTCTTAATTAGGAAAAAAATGCTAATATTTACTAGCAGAACTAGAGCTCCCTGAAAGTTCCCTTAGCCTGTCCTCTGACCACTAACACTCAGTGGTTTTCACTGTGTGCGTTTTGGTGACCAAAAATGAAGTTTTAGTTTCCTGCTGTTTGTGATATATTACAATCTCCTGACACTATGTAAACTAGGCCTCTGCAATCCATGTATCCCTATCTATACACATAGATAGTTCCTGGGATCCTCCAAATTACTGTTCAAAGCTGAATGTTTAAAACTTTGCTAGTAGTGACGGCCATTCACCTGCTGCATGCAACTTAACAGCTAAGGGACAGATTCATAACGCATAAAATTACATTTCTGAAAGAGAAATCCCTCCCTCACTGCCTTTCCCTAATTCTTTATCAAGTGTCTCAACACATAAGGCCCCACTTTTCATAATGCCTGAAACCCTCCTTCAGACACTAAATAAGAAAGGCATTTAGGTAGCAAATTTTATTCACTAAGAGTAATGCCACTGCTTAAGGCTAAAGAGTGGAGGCCCAAACACTAGCTGAAATCCTGAAGGAAGGACTTTGCCTTCACCAGAAATCATGGGAGAAGAGCAAGTGGCTGATGGTTCCCAGCTATTAACACAGCTTTTAACACAGCTATTAACACAGTTTTTCCATTTTGTGGATTTTGGTTTCACTGATCTCAATATTAGGGGTGATGGGCCTAGCTCCCCCCAGAGCAAAACTGTTCCCTTTTTGTCCTCATGACAGGCCTGGCAGGAGTTCCCTTCTGTGCAGCTCTCAAACATCCACCACTCACGACAAACACACGTCTGAGACCTGAAATAGAAATTTTTAGAGACCAGAAGTCTTTTTTTTCCAGCACTTTGCACTCCCTCCATCCACACTTTAGCCCTGAAGTTCAGATTTCTGCCCACAAGGCACTCAAACTGGTCCTGAACTTCACACTCATTTCAGGAGAGCAGAGATTTCCTGTGCTTTTCCAAATTCTGGCAGCAGCACTCCTCAGCTCACAGGATTTCCAAAGTGGAGCCCTCAGTTTCTTCAGTGCACAGTTCCTTTGCTTTCTTCCTGTGCCTTTAAAATTAGTATTTACAACTATCTCTTTCAGTATTTTAATCCTCTCTTACACTTTCTAGGCCATGATGGATACTATTTGCAAAGTCCAGGTTTGTTCTCTGTGATGAGTAAAATGTCCACAGCAGCTTTTTTCCTTATTCCCAGTCAAATCCCTTTATATTTGATCACTAGCAAGAGGAAACTGTCAATAAAAGAAAGGATTTTCCTGCTTCACCTCTCTCTATCCTTAATAGCTCCAACAGACCTCTAGAATACTTTTTACTAAATCCCTACATTGCCTTTTTTTGAGTAAGTAATAATTTTTGTAGCTCTCTCCTGTCTTGAACTCCTAAACCTTTTCCTTATATGAGCTCTTCATTCACAGAGAAGTGAATTTCAATAAAACCAACTTCCACCTGACGCTTCTGACCAGCAGGTTTTGTGCAAGGAAGTAAAACACAGAAGCAGACCAAGAGACTTACATTGTGGCACAGAGAGAAGTGATGACAGAGAGGGAGAAAACAGGGTATCTAGCCACACTCCTACAATACTGTCAGTTTTCTAACCTTTGGTTTTTCTTCAGGCTTCGGCAATATTGGTTTTCCATCTTTATCCTAGAAGGAAATTAGGTATTATTTACATTTTCTGTTGTTACAAGAAGTGCCATACTCCATAATCACCAGTGAAATAAGGCAAAATAAATTACTCAAGAATTACTCAGCGACAGGAATTCCCCTAAATGGGAATAATTACATGGCCAGATATTTAGATCAAAAAGGCAAATGGGATGTCAGCACATTACAAGAGACCAGAAAGTGTTCTGGTGTTGTTTTGGTTAACTTTGAATAAATCTCCATCACTTTGGGTGACAATTAAAAAAAAAAAAAAAAAAAAAAAAAAAAAGAAAGTGCAATTTTCCCACCATTTTACATCAGTGTTTCAAGGTTACATTACAAAGTGATGCCAAAGAGCACTCCTGCAAGGGATGGATTTTACAAGGCTGAAATGTAATGTCAGAAACATGAAACATCACTCTTGGAGAAAGAAGGGGTGACTTTTCCATTTGAGATGACTCACCCATCTCATGGGTGAGATGAGATCTTTACCTACAGTGCTTGGAAAAAACAGTGATACAAAGGAAGAGGAGGAAATAAGAGGTACAGGAATCACCAAGGAGAAAACCATTTATTAAATACTAGTTTAGTTTGTTTACCCCATGTTCTTTCTCTCTCTGTAATTAAAGAATCAGGCACGTGCCCTGCCTACAAAGCAATAGAGATATGAAAAACTTACCAACTCTGGCATTAACCTGTACTCTGGAGGTATTGTATCATCACGTTCTCCAGCCTTTTGCTCCTTTTTCTCTTTGGCTTTTGCCTTGAAAAGAAACAATTAAATTATTCTAAGAAGCAAGATACTAAAATCCCTCAATTTATTCCTGTCAAATGTCTGTCGTAATATTATAATGCTTTAAGATTCAATAACATATGTGAATACAGCTAAATTATTTTAAATCCTAAAAAACCCTAGAGAGTATGCAGAACTCTGTGGCAGGCACTTTTAGAAATTTTTGTGTGTACAAAATCATCAGGCTTTCTTGCACTTCAGCACTCTGATTATAGAATCCATAATTCTGTGTCTTTTTCCATCACTGGCACCAAAACAAAGTTTTTAATTCTCTAGGCCTCCTTACTGAAGAAATGCATCTGCTAAGTTATCTGAAGGCCCAGACTGGCTAAATCTGCAACACAAGAAACTCTTTTTTAGTCAAAATTGATCTCAATAACAGAAGATTTTTTTACTATTTCCCCATTGTTTGCTTGCTCTGAGCTACAAGTTAAGACAGGAAAAAAACGGCTCTATATATTGCAATAGACAGTGTTTGCAAAACTAAACCAAAAAGTTAAAGCTTAACATGCAAACACAGGGTAACTGTTTAAATTCTGTCTGTTGGGGAAAAACACAACTCTCAAAAGACAGTGAAAGGCAAGACTCAAACTAGAAAGATAATGGAGTTTGATGGAAAAAGGAGCACCCACAAAATGAAAGCTTGCTATATATTGTATAGAGTGCTGGGGAAAACAAACACAGAACAGAGCTGTATCTACCCATGAATGTATGTATGTTTATATGTATGTTTGCTTGTATAAGCGAACAAATTACATGCTCATAATTTTCCAGACCACCTTACTATGTTCTACTCTACCTGTATCCACCTGGGATTCTCAATGTTTTTCATTTTCTTAATCATTGAAGACTCACACATTCCTTAGGCCTTTGGTATCAAAGTAACTTGCTTGTTATTTTACACATTTGTCCAGTGTCTAATAAAAAGAACTCAGAGGTTCCACAGCCAGAGTCTGGAAGCCAGGGTAAAAAAGGAGTGAGGTGTTACCTCTGACACCTCTGCAATAGGTGTAGGATCTTCTTCAGGTTCAGGTTCAGGTCCTCCAAGAGTATCAAGAAGAGCATCCATTGCATCATCTTTAATTTCCTGTATTTTAAGAAAATGTGCAAAGCACTTTGTAATTTCTTTAAACAGGCACAGGTTTTTACCTCAAGTGTTTTTATACTGTATATGAAGAAAACAGCCAACAACAAATTGGTCATTTTGGTTTGGCTTTACCCAATTTACTTAACACCAAATTACATGACAGAATTAGCACAGCTTTACTCAGACATGAGGCTTTTCTTAAGGACAGAATGAAGAAAAAAGGAAGTAAAAAAACCCCAAAACCACAGTGCCACAATGTCATCTAACACAATTCTCATATGCTTTGACTTGGCAAACTGAAAAACACATTTGCTCTCTTTAGAAGAAAAAAAACAGAAAGTTCATAAAACATGAGAAAGTTACATCATATCCAAGTTTTAAACACAGATCACAGAGCTAAGAACATTTTCCTACAAATATTTCTACTCTACTTCCTCTAGTGAGAAGAACCACAGTTATTCCTCAGAATCCAGAATGAAAATCTTCTGATATACTAAAGTAAGATCTTTAAGGCACAATGGAATCTGGGCAGTGGCATTTCTTGTTATGCCTATATTTTCTAAAATAAAGAGGATTTACAATTTAAAATGAGAATGATGAGCATCTTTATGAGAACAAAAACACATAACAGCAGTATATGCCCGTAAATTTTAATTAGAAGGTAACCAGTGAAAGAAAGATTATGTGTACCTCTTTTGATTTTGTTTTCTTCTCCTTAGAACGAGCTGAAGTCTTAACTGAACTTGCTTGTGCCTGCACTATTTCTCCTTCTTTATTTAATTTCTGCGAGTGAGATGAAATTACAAGCAAATTTGCAAATATAGAAAAGAAGCAGGAAATTTTATCTACTTTAAAATGAAATATTGTAACAGCATCATTCTTTTCCACACAATAAATGCATGCAATGGCAAGGAAAGTGTCAATACCTCTGTCACACTTGTTTTCTTCTCCTGAGCAGAAGCAGCACTGCAGGTGAAGTCAGATGACAGGGCCTCTGCAAGCTCATCATCTGTCATTGGCTTCTGAGCAAGGAATTGCAAACCAAGTTATGACCACGAGAAACTTCAAATATCAACACGGCTCAAGCTCAGTTTACAGCCTGAGTGTGTCCCACAATTACTCACACAGTGACCTCACTGGCACAAGTTCCTGACACAACAAAAAAATAAAGGTGCTTGCCCCCACTGGTTGATTCATGTCTCAGATAAGCTTTTATTTTTAGTATGTCAAACTTCCCAACCAGCAAAATTATGCTAACTGACAGAAATCTCTGGCTAAGTGTAGAAATACAAGTAGTCTTTGCTGAAGGCAGCACAGAGAGACTTCTGCTTGCACAGTATTTCTCCTCTTTGTTATTTGTATGACCAATATTTTTGTAAGCATTTATTTGACTCATTTCAGCTTCAGCATCATGAAAATTCCTGCACCTTTATTAAAAACCTCTGTGCCAAGCTCTATTTAGTTTTATCATTATAGTACTTGGCAGCCCACATGCCCCTCCAAATTGTGTGGGACTTTTGGAGAACAAGCAGCATTTATATTTTCCTAGGAATTCATTGATAACTGGGTTTTTTTCCACCCGGGTTACTTTCCCCTTCCAGTATATTAAAAAAAGTTCTTACTTCATCTTGCTCATTTGGTTTCGGTGGGACCACATCTTTGCCATCTCCTTTGCTCTAAAGTGAGAATTAATTTTGTAGTACATGAGAAGCAGAAATATCCAGTATTTCAGAAGACACACATGACGAATGTATTGATTTTTAACTCACTCACCTTCAACAGTTTAACATACTCTGGAGGGAGACTACCTTCCCGTTTGCCCAATTCTTCCAAGTATCTTGAATATATATCTTCCTGTGAAAAAAAGCACAATTAATGTACTGTTCTTTACTGAAATAAATTTCTTATAAAGCTGCCTACAGTGATACCATCAAAAAGAAAATGCAAATATTGACTAGGACACTCTACAGGGTCTTTCAGTACCTACTGTCATGCACATGCCTCCTCACTTGCTTCAACACTGCTCATCATCCAGCAGAACATTCCCAGATTCCTAATTTAAGCCATTTCACTGTCTCAGACCATAGGATGTGCTGAACCTAGACTGCTTTTTAAATATTTATGTATTCAAAAATTTTTGTCACGTTTTACTGAGCCGCTAAGCTTATAATCTAATCCTTTTTACATCATTCTCCGATTCAGTCTCAGAAAGTTATGCATTCTTCAACAAATTCCCAAAACTGTGTCATTTCTGTACTAACAAAACCAACATTAAAATGTAACTTTGCACACTCTGTTTCAACTCTTCACAGATCACAGGTACAAGTCCTGGATCAACACAGTAAAGAGCAACTACAGATGTAATTTAGGGATTAATCTTTTAAGAAATAAGAATGTAAAGTGTAAAATACCGTAATTTCTGGGCCAGTGTAAACAGGAGTAGTAGGCACATCTTCCTCAGGTCCACCAAGGGTATCTATTAGGCTATCAAGTGCTGACTCATCCATACCAGGCTAAAAAAATAACCAAACTATTATAGAAGTTACCAAGGACACAGGGGAAAAAAAAATCTGAACTATCTGGTGAATCTGTAGAATACTCCTAGAAACCAATCTAAAAGCTTTCTTTCAGCAGGATATGATTTGCCAAATTTTTCAGTGAGAATGGCTCTAAACTGCATTCTCCAGCATCATTAATAAGGTATTTTGTATTTGTGTAGCAGTGGATACACATATATATATTCAAATATAACTGAAGATAGGGAGTAACTGATTTTTAAGCTTGTATAATTTTAAGCTAGTTTCTAAAGAAGTCCTACTTAACAAAACACAAATAACACACCAGTTGTTTTTCACCTCTTCCTGCAGATGGCCCTCCACCATCATACATACATTGAAGATGTATAAGTACTACAGCAGTTACCCTTTTTTTTTCCTAAAACCAAAGTATTTCAGAGAGAGAAGTGCCCTCTGAGAGATTATTACAAGGGAACCCTTTGTCTGGGGCTGTGTTTACTAACCTCAGTACTTGATTTGTCAGCAGCAACAACCACACTTGCACCAGCTGTGCCTGTTCCAGCAGCTGCAGCAGTCACTGCGGACACATCCTTGGACTTTTGCTGGAGAGAAAAAATAAGAGATAGTTTATAACTATGTTAAAAGAGAGGCAGAACAAAGTAAAACATCCAATGCTGCGTCTGTGCACAATGTTTTGGACTCAGCAACTGGCTGGTGCAGATGCACAGCATCCAGATGCTTGGGCAGAGTGAGCTACCATCATAAAAGTGAGATTCTGCTGTGGGAGAGAAAGCTTTCTATTTTAAGCACTCTACCTCCTTCTTTTATTCTGACAGTGAAAGAAATCTGCAGGGCAGGAAAGACTTTGAAGTCCCAAGTGTCTTTGGAAAGCTGTAATTTACTTCTGGTAGCTCTCAATGAACCAATAAACTCCAGCAGCAAAAGGTGCTCAAGCAGGTGGGGTGAAAACTGCTGCAGGTAGGGAGGTGGAGGGGCAACACCACCACACAAAATGCAGACTTCTGCATTACTGACACTGCCATTTACTGCCAAAAATATGGGTGTAGCAGGGGAGCTGCAGGAGCCCTTCATGTTACCCTGGCCTTGTCACCAGACACGTGCACACCAGTAGACCAAAACACCCACATCCTGATGCCACCACATGCTTTTCCTTCACATTTTTTTCTCCAATTATCCTGTGGAAATGACCCCTCCCCAGACCTTTTCCCCAGCCTTCCTCATTTTAGTTTTTTGCAGAGCCTTGTGTTCAGGGCTGACCTGCTATATTTGGAGCCAGCACTGCCGTGAGCGGGCAAGGGAAGAGCCTGACAAAGAACCTGTGACAGCTGTGGAGCTACGAGGAACTTAAAAAAAAAACTGAGAGAAAAACAGAAGAGCCCCAAACACATAGAAACAAGCCTAAAACTAGGATGTTCTTACTGTTATTTGCTTGGCCAAAAGCTTAAATACACTGTGATTTTTGGGGGCCTAAAAGTGTCACTTGACAGTACTCAGCTAAACAATCCATATGGATGTGGATTCCTAACACCCCCTCAATAAAATAATAAAAAATTGGCTGAAATAATAAAAACTGGTTGTGTTTCTACGGTACCTTTGCTGTCTCTGTGGGGGTTGCTGGTGGAGGCTGATCAGTCTGAGTTGTAGTTACTTTTCCTGTGTTATTTGGTTTGGAAGCTGTTGTCACAGTGGGTGTGGTTTGGTTTTTTCCCTGTGTGGAGATAAACTATTATCAGTAGATACAGAGGGCTGGCTTTTTGTTTTTTCAAACTATTTTTTTAAGTGAAAGACTTAAGCAAAATACCAAAAGAAACCCGCATTAAAAAATTCAAAATAAGAGAGAGAGAGAGAGAGAGAGAGAAGAGAGAGAGAGAGAGAGAGAGAGAGAGAGAGAGAGAGAGAGAGAGAGAGAGAGAGAGAGATAGAAATTATACAACTTACATCACTGGGTTCCTTTTNAAGCAAAATACCAAAAGAAACCCGCATTAAAAAAAAAAAAAAAAAAAAAAAAAAAAAAAAAGAGAGAGAGAGAGAGAGAGAGAGAGAGAGAGAGAGAGAGAGAGAGAGAGAGAGAGAGAGAGAGAGAGGTAGAAATTATACAACTTACATCACTGGGTTCCTTTTGTTTCTCTTCAGACAGCTGTTTATTTTGAGAGTCTGTTGGCTGTCATAAAATAAAATATTGAGATGATTTACCACTTCCACCACTCAGTGCTACAGAACATGATCCATGCTATACCAAACAAGCAAGCACAAGAGAGATCTAAAGATGGTTAAGAGGACACTTCTTGGACTGTACTGAAGTTTATGCACAAATATATCATTGGTCACACACCAGTTTCATGGGACACAGAAACAGCCAAGGGAGTTCAGCCTCTTTGTTTTCAAAGTTAGTAAAAGACCAAAGTGCAGCAACTCTGCAAAGGTGAAAGGTAGGTATTTACCTTGTCTGACTGGGTGTTTTTGTCAGTTCCTGCTTTAGTTGTCAGTGTGGACTGACAACATTTATGTAGAGATTAATATGCATGATTATTTGCAGAGGATCAGATTATGTAAAGGAGAGTATCAGACAGGTTCACACTTGTCAGTGCACATGCTAACTACTACACACTGACCTTGCAGCTCACAACATCCTAATACGAGCTGCCAGTGATTTAAGAGCACTCAAATATGTGCAAACATCCACACACAGACACACTCACTCCTCACGTGGGGGATTGACAGGGAAAGATGTTAAAACACAGTAACCAGTTTGATACCAAACCCAAATTGCCAGTAGCATTTTCTGAAATAGCCTCAAATATTACAGAATTATTTTTCACTAATTTATCAATGAAGTAATTATAATTGCAAAGTAAGTAATTATAAAAATACATGTAGTCCTGATGGAAAAAACATTAATTACTTAGATTCAACAGCACATACACAGGGTAGGATATGTTCAGTTAATATCCTTATACTAAACAGCAGAATTTTTGTATTTTTTCTTTCCTCTGTAACCTCCTAATGCTCTTATTTTACAACAGAGCTGGACAACCTGGCTAGGATAATATAACATGGGTTTACTTCCAGGGTTTACACCTGAAAACCTTCTGCAGCCATGCCACAAAATCAATTCCTGTGATTCATTCAAAGTACAGTAAGCAATAAATTACAACAGTAACAACTAAAACTGAAACATTATAGAATTGTTATGTCTGTTAAGAAGAGAGAAACTCAGCCTCCTCACCACATATTTTCTTCCTGTTTTTTCTTGCGACTTCAGCTGCACTATGAGCAACACAGAAAGAGCCTTTCATCTGCCAAACATTCATTACCATTTAGAATTACCCAGCTTCCGTTTTCTGGCTGACCACACAGACAAATTTTCTATGTTTGTTTACATTTTGTTATGCAAGTATTCACACCCCCACACTGAGCTGCAGACACTCAGCTGGGAAATCCTGAGCAAGCATTAAATGCAGATGCCTGGGCATAATCCTGGCAAAGGTCTTGAAGCTTTGAGGGAGACACCTCCACACACAAATGGGGAAATACTGATGGAAACGGAGAAGCAAAAATTCTCAAAGTGAGAAAAAGATATTAAAAATAAATATTAAACGTAAGGTCATAGATTCTCACCTTTTCCCCAGATTCCCTGCTTTGTATTTTGTCTTGATGCCTAAAACCTGATTACAGCACAGCAACTCTCAGGGTCAGTCATGCTTTATATGCTCCCACTTGTGTGTCCTTATTACAGGACTACTGCTAACTCAAAAGCACACATGCGTGTTTGCACACAAAATAATCCTGTAATGAAAGGATAATCCAAAATTTTCCTAGTTTTTAAGATAAATTAAGGTTGGGTGTGTTTCTGTAGCATCTATAGCAAAGAGTCAATCAGACATGAGCTGTCCTTCAGCAGCAAGATGTAAAACATGTAACAGAAGTGCAAAGATAAAGTAAAAAAAATACAGGTTGACTCTTCTTGTTCTGGGACTACTGCTTGCTCAGGATTCTAAGTACCCTGCTGTCAGAGTACAGGTTTTTCTTATCTTCCTTTCAGAAGAAAACTAAACACACCTTATATTTTCAGAACCATAAAATATATTTACTTGCACTTCTGCCCACACCCAAACAACACCTGTACAGAACATTGAATACAAATTCTCAACTTGCCAAACCAGTTATGAACAACTGTAAGTCTTCTTTTTTATACTGTAAGTATTATTTTACTGAATACTTTATGAACCTTCTGTGTGAGGTATGCATCATTCACGATCCTTTTGTGATGTTTAAAATATGCAGAATTACCCTTACTATAAATTTATGTTTGGTGATGCTGAAGAATAAATGGACCCATATGGGCAAGGATTTGATTCAAGACTTGCACACAAAAGCTGAAGCCACAATAAAACACATTATTATAAACACCTGCTCACACACAGAGACACGTATATTTAGGTACACTTTTAGCAATTACAAGGTTCAAATCTAACTTTTAAAAAAATAAAAAAAAACAGGTAACCAAACCAATAACTTTCATATGAGACTATCACTTCAGAGAAATTGTTCAGCCATCCTCTAAACAGAGTCAACTGTGAGCAGCCACAGACTGAAGACATGGCATAAGCTGATGGTGTGCATTGAATTTCTGTGGGGAAAAAGATTCTCCACTTCCCCTTCAACTGCCTACTTCCACCTGCACTGTGTCAGGATCCATTAGGATGCATTTCAAACTGACTGAAATGGTCTGGAAATGAAAAATTACACTTTTTCACTGGTTCTGTGGTTCACAGTGCAGTTGCACGAACATGTGCAAAAGGAAGGCGGCTGGAGGGGACGCGTTTGTGACAGTGGAGGTAGCAGCACCCTGTTTGCTCCAACCCTGCCAAATCCAGAGTGCTGGCTCTACACTCTGGTCCTCCAAACTGTCCACCTAACCCCAGGCTTTGCCCACAGAACAAGAAATTTCACATTCCTTCCTCTGCCACAGTGAACTCAGGGCTTTCTCAGAGAGGGCACAACTCTGAGGGCTCATTAGAGGCAAAGGGCTCATTAGAAGGTTAAGGAGGGGTCCAGAGCATGTTTAAGAGCTGTGGCACACTAGAGAGACTTCAGGAAGGAAAAATGAGATGTGGTTATAGCAGGCAATTGGGTTAATTTGCAAGAAATTTAGGACTAGAAATTGAAGCGACTCAGCAACCTTACTAGTTTTCAAAGAAGTCTACTGTCAAAAATGCAAATGACTTGTTTAATCCAGCAAGAGAAAGATATTAATAATGCAGCAGACATTAAAAGAAAACATTATGTTACGCATGCAAATGCAAGCCACTGTTTCAAAGGGATTTGTGTTTACCAGTCTTACAGTGCTGAAGCATGCCTCTGCTACTCTATTTCTGGCTCATTTACCACATTCTTCTGAGAGTTGCTTTAAATTTCAAGTAGGGAAAGACCATTGCTGTCTGGGTTAGACCATATGGAGAACCACAGCACTAATGAACATGACACAAATGAGTTTGCCAACAAACACAACAGGGAGGAGAAACCAGATGCTGGCAGATGCCTTCATTTGTGAGTAATGATGATGGTGCACAAATGGAAAAATTTGTTTAATTGCCATTCAGCTCTTAGATGTATGTGTGCATGGAGGAAAAGGGTTTTAAAAGGCTGAGTGGAATGTAATGGCTAAGTTCAAATGCAGAGATGGGGATGCAGGCCAGAACAGACAGAGACAAGAGGAAAAGGTTATCACAAATAAACTTCCCATTTGATAAATGGAAAAAAAAATTATCACTGTGAAGGTAACCAGACCTCAGCTCTGACTGTGCCAGTGTGCTGTAGGTACCCAGAAGGTGCCTGGCAGGGCCTCCAGCAGTGCCATTTACCTCCAGAGCTGGCTCTGCCTGCACCAGAGCATCTGCAGGGACCTCTCCCACCCTCACCCTCCCCACACCCCTTTTCTGGCATTTACACAAGGTGCAGGCAGCCTGAGCCTTTACCACCACACAAGTTCCTGCTGGCCTGCTCTGGCATCCAGCTGTTGTTGGTTTTGCTGTTATGGCTGTGGAAAATGAAAGAGGTGAGGGGAGAACCATTAATCATTTATTTAAACAACACAGGTAACTCCTGTTAGGCAACGTGAGGATGATGACTCTCTCCTAACAAGCAAAGGACAGGACTGATGACACAGCCCTGACACTAAGCCCCAGTCATAAAACAAGACAGAACAGGTGTGAAGGGCAAAGGCAGGGGAGCTGTCAGACAGAGAAACACAGGAGATTAACAAGAAGATGCAACTGTACGTACAGAGAAAGCTGAAAGTTCATCCTGGATTTGTTAAGTATGTGAAAAACCATCAGCAAGGTAAATAACCCTGCAGTTACACTGGAGGGAGCTATACACATGTCACAAAACTGACAGAGCTAAAATTTAACATTGCCAATAATTTTCTTTTTATTGCTGTTGTAAAAACCTCTGGTTTATTTGAGTAGCACTTTTTTAGATTTTTTTTTCAGAGGAAACTGAGCTACAGATAAGAAATATAGGAGAAGTTACTCGGTATCGAAGTGTTAAAAACAAAAATCCATGGCTTAATACATGTGCCATGCAAGCATGATTTCTTTGTGAAATTCTTACCCTAGTTTCAGATGGCTTCATAATTTGTGGTTTCGATGCATCCGCAGGAGATTGCTTCTAAGAAAAAAAAACGAAAAACAAGTTTACTTTTGTAATAAATACCTGTATTAAACAAGCATAAAGAATCTGAAATCACTTGTAATCTAGATGAAAATTAAGAATAAATTATTTCTGAAAATTAGAGTTATTACTTGAGATCTTTTGTCTGGCCTGTATTTCTACAATACATACATGTAGAACTTCGACAGTTTTATGATGCCCACAGACCTTCTTTAAACATTATTTTTTCTCCTCTGACATGCACTGACAGCAAATTTTCCATCGAGTACCAAGACAAACTCAAATCCTACTCTCACACTGAAGCATATATGCTTACTTTGCAGGATTCACCCATGCTTGTTTTTTAAACAAAAATTGTGCCTTTGGATTTACTGGTTTGTTACAGAAGATATTTATTTCTAAAGTATCAAACTCAGATATGTTGAGACAAAAATAAATAGTTAATATGTGAGCAGCACATGTCCCCTGCAGTGTTCCTGTGTATCATCCAACCTTTTTGGAACTCCACAAAGGACATGGTCTGTTCTCCTGCCTTCAAGGACGTCAATCCAGAAACACCATGGTGTGTTGCTGTTGTGGCTGTATCAAACTTCAAAGCTCAGAACATTCCAGCTGTCTCATCAATACTTTATAAAGAAGTAATACTACTCCTTTATTCCTGCTTCATGCTTCTCTGCTTAAAGGTGTATTTTGTATTTTTACATACACTCAAAGCTGCATTCTGTGATTCTGTGATTTGCTCTCTCTGTCACAGTAACACATTCATAGGTTATATTTAAATTTACAGCATAATTTTTATTTTTTTTTTTACTTTTTCTCTTCCATTTTTTATATTGTCTCTGTTTACCATGCTACTTGAAGTATGAAAACACACACACAGTTTGAATGAACAGAAGCTATATTACTGCTCTAGACCCTAGGGTGGCTTCTTACATCCACATGGAAAAATTTTTAATTTCCCTAACCTCCTGCAGCACAAGGATTTCTCAGCACTAAGAGAAAAGCTGTACAGAATTTAAAATTAACACAATGATGACAACAGCATGGTCTCCCTACCAGCTTAGTTGGTGTCTCACACACCTCATTGAGAGGTTTGATTGTTCCAAATATATATTATAGAGAATCTGCAGTTGTCATACTGCAGAAAAGTAAACAAATAATACCTGCTTCCATATGCCTACAGAATGACTACTTAATAGATGGGAGCTTTTGCATGGGTGGAGACACACACAGGAATGTAAAGAGTCTCCTACACCAGGGCAGAGAAATAAAGTTTTTCATAACCTTTTAACCTATTTCCACTACTACCATCAGGTATTTTTTCTTAATTTGCTCTTTAACTGTTTTTCCTCTCATTTTCCTTCGCCAGCAAGAAATTAATCTGAATTCCTTCTGCATGACTAACGAGTAGGCATCTATTCTACACCTTTGTATTAGTCACCATAGTCCCTGTCTGTTTAATAATGAAAACATTTATCTGAGCCATTCTACCCTCCAGCCCTCAGAAAACTCCTACCAAGTCTCTGTCTTAAAATGCACTGAAAAATTCTTTTTTCCCATGACGCAGCACAGCAGCACCGTCACAACCTGCAGGGATAAGTGAAAACTTCCCAAAACCCCAGCTGCTTCTTCCTGCCCTGCCCAGCTGGAGGGCAGGGACCAGCAAAAGCAAAGATGTGAAGAATGGAGGTACTCATGGAGGAAGAGGAGCAGTTCTGGAAATAGTAAACAGCTCAATGCATGGCTGCTGAACAGGGGCTGTGGAGGACACCAAGCCATCCTCCCTGGAGACATTCAGGGGAACAAAGCCCTGAGGAGCCAGAGGAGAAAAGTGGGACAGGTGCCCGAGTGCCTGGCTTAACTTCCCCCACTTCCTGCTCAAGTCCCACAATAATAAAGGCCCACAATTTTCCACTCTCCCCCTAAAAAGAGCCACTCCAGGGAAGAAGTAGGGTACTTGTTCTGCCAGCCCTTCAGCCAGAGGGCTCTGCAGCCAGGCTAACAACGCCAAGAGGCTGCTGAGCTCCAAGCCCTCTGGCTGGTGTGGTACCACCTTGTCACTACCAGCCTGGCTCCAGGATCATCCTCTTACCACACGCTGCTCTGGTGTTCCCATCCCCAGGACCCCGCTCGGCTGCCAGCTGTGCCCAGATGTTTCTGCCCCAGCCCCACAGAGGGACTGGAGCAGGCGTGAAGCAGCACAGGGATGTGTGTCAGATGTGGAGGTAAATACTGAAGTGCTGCCTGGCAACCTGGCAACAAAACCCTCCTGACGCAGAGCTGCCGCGGCTGCGGCACACCCTGCTCGCACCCAGCGTGGCCAGCCCCAGCACCCCCGCACAGGAAGGCTGGGGTGTCAAACAGCCAGCTTGAACCACACCAGGAGGCTGGGGCAGAGAACGTCAGGAGATGCTGCAAAGCGAGGGTGGCGTGTCCTCTGAGTTGTCAGCGATCCCTGGAGGACAGAGCTGGAGGGGAGAGCCAGCAGGATCAGTGCTGGTTCCTTTCTTCCTGCAGCTGCACCCCCATGGGTCCTGCCTGAAACCAGGCGTGGGTTCTGGAGGGTGATGTGCCAGCCCTGATGCCCTGGGAGTGAGGTGCAGGAGGGATCCCAGGCTGGGGAATGGCTAACGCACAGCACTCGTGTGAGCCGGGAGGCAAATCCACAGCATGGCATCCAGGACCCCTGATGGCCCACCAGGAGCTGCTCCCTGCCTAAGACCACCACAGCACGGACATACATGGAAGAGGTTACAGGACAGCACTAATTAAGCAAAGACTGACCCCTGTTAATTACCCCACCCTGCCAGCAGTACCCTACACTGCTGGATGACCTGCAGCATAATTAACAAGGATCAGTGTTTGCACTGGAGCTGACCAAAGGACCTCAGGTGCTCTTGAGTTAGAGGATGGCTTTCCAGGAAGGGCTGGTGAAGAGATCTGGGATCTGATTTGATAGAATTAAGAGAAAGAATACCCTTGGAGACTCATTTGTCAAGTTAGCAGGGCAGCATTCACGCCAGTTGAAAGAGAACTGTCACAGAAGCCAAGCAGCGGGTTAGCAAAACAAAGCTATCAGAAATTGGTATGAGTGTTAAAGAAATCTGCATGAAAAAATAGCAAGTGTAACAGGAGAAGAAGAAAATAATGGTGACAGCACAAATATTAAAAATTTGAACAGCTCAAAGAACTGGATGCAGATGCCCTCTGAAAAAATAAAACAACAGGCAAATAAGTCCATGAGTGCACTCAGTTTCATTCACAGACCTAAAAATCACTGAAATTGCCCCAAGTGTTGTGACAGCTAATGTCAACTAAAATGATAAATTCTGGGAATTTGTGAGGAAGATTCATCAGGCTGAGGAAGGTTGTTGTCCAGCCTCAGAAAGGGCACAATGCACCAGGTGGAGCCCTTCAAAACCAGAAGCAATGCTGCAAACATATAGCAAGCAACCCATACAGAGATGCTGTGATGGCAACAAGAAGATAAATAAGAACCAACAAGAATAAAGCAACAAACCTCCAGACACACTGTCACTGCAACTTTCCATTTTACTTGAGGTGACATTTTCTAGAATAAAATGGGAAAATTGGTCTATAACACTGGGTTACAACCTTGCTTTCAGACAGCTGAATAAAACAGAGGTTCTGACCTCTGACACTGGTGGTTAGCTGAAGGCAGCAACACAAAAACCCAAAACAACACCAAACCCTTCTAGGCAGGCAGCAATACTGCCAAAAACTTTCAAAGGCCATAATGTCACAGGCTGAGATTCTCCTCCAAAAATAAACACGGGAAGAGGAGTCTGGGGAAAAGTAATCTGTTGCTGTGACAATGTAAATATAAATGCAAAATATAACTTTCAACTTCTCTGGCTTGAGCTTCTCTAGGTCAAGTGCTAGCACAACTTTCACCATCACACTGCAGCAGGGATGAATATTTAAAGATATGAGAGCAGATTTAGGGGGGAAAACTAAGAAAAAATATGTATGAGGGAATTAGTGGCAGAAAAAGGTGAGTCAGGACCTGATGCTTTGTATTCTGGTCAGGGCCCCAAGAAAATGGGAAACAAAGAAGTGACTTAGCCTTTAATAAGGAATCTTTCAGGTCTGTGCTCAAAGATCTTCCTTCTGGAGAGAAGAGTCACTCTAAGGCAAAGGCTACCTGGATAAATCAGGCACCTCCAGCTCTAGCAGCCTTTGGAGGAGCTTTTATAAGCATTTTTAGAGTGATCTAGCTGAACTCAGTCTGGAACAGAGGACTGAAGAGCTGCCCAAGCTCTCTCATGGGCTAACACCCCCCGCCAGCATGACAGAGCTGGGATTGTTTCGCAGGCTTAGAGCTCACAACACCCATGATTTCACAATTACTAACTCACACGGTGTGTAATGCAAGGGTAAACCTAATCTACCTGACTATGAGTGGGTGCTCCTTTCCATGAATGGCCCTAATACCGAGCTTTAATTAATGGTGCGCTTGTAAGATGTGGGCAGCAAAAGCTCTTCAGAGAACCATTGTGAAAAATAATGGGTTATTTCGCTGAAGTGTGAAATACCACTTGAGCTGCTAAGAGGTTAAACCTCTCACTTGCTTTGATGGTGTGTGGCAAGGGCTGTGCAGCCTTCCCACCCCTGGACACACACCCAGGAGGCAGAAGGTGGGAGAGGGATAGCGCCAAGGGGGCGTGTGTGCACATGTACATATAAATACATAAATCTATAAACACGCATATTTAAAGTTACACAGCATGTCAGGCGTGCAGTGGCTTAAAATGGGAAAAAAGATTAAGCATTAACTCTTTATATATCTTTTATTCCTGCACTATCTAGAATAGCTGAGTTTAAACATTACAACTTTGAGTGCTCCTGTGTCATTTTCTATCCCAAGTAATTTGGTAAATACTCTACTATTTTGCCACTGCTGCTCTTATATTCATCTCTACTATTGCATTTCTAAGAAAAACAACAGCTTTTGTTTGAGACAACACTCAAGAGAA